CCTTTTGTGACATGTTAATTTTTAACCTGTGTTTTGGTGTATAGTTGGTATTTATCATAAGTAATTTGGCTAGCTTAACCTAGCAACATAGAATGTAATTATATTTCTACTTCCATATCAGTTGGTTTACATGAATAATTCACCTGTCCAGTGAAATACAATTAATCTACGACAGGAAAATCTCTCTCTTTTTTTATTTTGAAAACAAAATCTAACAAAAGAGAGAAAATGTAACTGTTTAGCTTTGCTAAACTAAGGCAAATTATAAGTTTTTATTTTCCCTAAAGAAGGGGTAATAACCTGGTTCTTTGTGTTTAAACAAATGTTATTGTTATCTTAGTTTTCTGCTCTCTTCTTAGCTAAGATCTTGTTAAGAGGAACTATTCGTTCTTAGAGCATTTTGTAATAGTGAGGCAGACAGAAATAAAAGAGGCTTATATTTATTTGGATTGAGATGGGTACTTAATGTTCTAGTTTTTAATATTGAACAACAAGCCTCACTTTTATTTTATTAATAAACCACTGCACAGCTATCTTTCCCTTTTACTGCCAGTGAGTTCATGTTTTCTGCTGTTATGCACATAACGTTACTTAAAAATGTTTTAGAAATTGTTTCTATATGTTATAAATTGTTCCTTGCTTAAGACCAGAATGTTGAGAGGTAACAAATTTGGAAATGAGCCATTGTTATTATGTCCTAATGAAAAAGTTAATGGTTAGAGTAATTTTAAAGATGGTTTATATTTTATTTTAAATAACATTTTGCAGCACTGTCAAATATATTTATTTTACTTTTTCTTAAAATCCTTAAATTACTACCAAAGATCATGTTCAGAACTTGAATTGCTATTTCTTTGGGGTATTGTAATTTAATATTTGTAGTTTGATGCATGAGGTTTTTAGTTACTAGCTATTTTGGGGGGATATAATTTAGTTTTTCTACTTTGATGCCTTGACAGTTTTAATTTCATTGAAGTTTTGGCATGGGTAAATGGGATCAAAGGAGGTGAAGTATATTGAAAGCAGTGATTTTAATTTAAATCTATTTTCTAGAAAAAAGGCAGAAAATCTTCTCATTCATCTTTAATTCCTATCTTGGTACCTAGTTTTCCCTGAGTAAATATTTGTGAATTGAGAATAATAATTGAATCAGTGTCTTTTTCAGAAAAGGTGTGGCTGTATCATAATGAAGCATACGACATATCTAGCCCATTTTATTCCAACATTCTTTTCATATTTGATATCAGGGTCAACCCTTAACCGCAAAAAGATGAGCTGGCTATGAGCTGAACTTCAGCAATCATCTTCCCATTATGCTAGCCAGAATATATTTCAGAACTAATGGTGCACCATTCAAGAAATGTATGTTTGCTGATGAGATTTTAAAGAAAGACTCACTTTGTGTCACCCTGGCCTAGTTCTCAGTAATGCCCAGAAGCTCTTCTTCATTAGAGGCTTATTTTTCACCAACTCCAATATCACTTTCTGTCTTATGATTCATTTTAAGGTATATTTTTAGCTTCTCGATCTCCCTGTTTTATCAGTTCCTTGTTTAGAGTGTTGAATAAGATGTTGGATTTGAGGAAAGAAGATGAGGTTGGAATAGGGGACTATATGCCTTTTCAGCTGTTGCCTGAACTTTTAGTGCTGTCTGCCACCCCCAAATCCATTCCATTTACTTCTTCATTCACTAAGTAGCTAAGCTGCACCTCTGGAAATGCCCAGTGGTGTGTTAGATATTTGGATAAAGAGGTGGGTTATAGTGCCTAACACAGTATCTGAAATAATAACCTTCTTCAAGAAGCAGTAAACATCCCCTTGAGAGCTTTGTTTAGCTCCGTGCCCTTTTGTACAGCTGTAACAACTCTGATTCTCGTGGAATTCTCACCTGCCCATCTAATTCATTTGGGCACCACATTATTATACTAGTTAGACTAGATGCTATAACAAATAAGCCCCATTTCAGTGGCTTAGCACTCTATTTATTTTTCAATGATATTGGACAATGCAGTATGCTTTTAAGGACACTCTATTACTTGTGGTCAGTTAAAAACCCAGAATGAGAGAAACTCAGGCACCTTCCGGAGTTTCCTGGGTTATCAGTATTCAGACTGCAGAAGGTGAAAGAGCATAAAGGACTGCGTACCGAAGATTTTTGAAGGCCTGTGCCTGGGCATCACAAATATCATCTCCCTTTCTTCCACTGCCTGGAGCCCAGGCATGTGGCCACCTCTAACTAAGAAATGCAAGCAGTTCAGCCCCAAAAGAATGTCTGGTGGGCTGGGTTCAAAGTAATTATGACTATGTGTTATATAACACCCTCCCTCCCCCGCCGCTGATAGAATGACCGGTCTTCCTTTAATAATTGATTATGTTTCAGAAATCCTTTGGCTATTGGAATGGAGTAAAATATTTTTTTTTCTTATTACAATACAGTGAACATAATGAAAGAGTAGGTAAACCAAATATTTGGAGGTTTCACTGTTAATCTTAAGAGATTCTGATTTTCTCCCTCACAGTATTGCTCTTCCCCACCTGGCAAACTGGTTTGGTGAAATCTCACCTTAGTGAAACCCTCCTGAGCTTCCCTCTTTCACCCCTGCCTCCCTAGGCACAGTTAGCAGTTGCATCCCCAGTGTTCTGCTTGAGGTCGAACATACCTGTTAGTTTCATTCATTCATCTCTTTGCCCACTCAGATATTTGTAATGGAAAGAGAGAAAGGAGAAAGAAAAGAAAGAGTGAGGAGGGGAAACTCACTGTGATAGAGTAGTACAAAGGGCATAGGGAAAATACATGTAGTTCTACATTAGTTATAAGGGAGAGTTGAAAGGGTGAGGACTGCTTCTTTCAGAAGAAAAAAGTTTAGTCCAAATCTCTTATTATTAATGGATTCTCTCCCTTCACAAAATGATTAGCTCTTCAGAGAAATTACCATATTTTGATGATCTCTGGTGTAGCAGCAGTCATATGCTGGACACTCAGATGAATCAATCAGTTCAAGTGTAATTGAATACCTCTATAAGCTTTATTTATTATACACTTTCCTATACATTGACTTATATTGTGCTCAACAGAGCTCTATGATAAGACATTTTTACTTGTTTTAAAATAATGAACTCAAATTAAGAAAATTGATGATTTGCCATTGCTACATAGTAGATTAACAAGATCTCAAGTGTTCTATATCTAATTTTGTGCACTTTTCATGCTTGGAAACAGACATTTCAATATCAAAATGGAACTTTGAAATTTATGTTGTGTGCTTTGGGGGATAAAACATCGAATCACCTGAATCTTTGAATGATGAAGACTATTCATTTATGTTGACTCAAGCAAGTTTTTTTTCTTTAAATAGAAATGGTTCTTCCATCATGTCTTATAGTACTTTATTATTCCTGCCAGCACAGTGTTTTGAATGCATTAGGTGCCCTGTAAATATTTATTAACTAATTGGCAGTGATTTAAATTTTGTACATTAGATTTACCTAAATGAGACAAGCTTCCTGATAGAAAGTGTCATTAATTTTTTGTGTCATAGGAGACAAAGTTTGCCTGTGTTACATTCTAAATCCTGGAATTTTATAAGAATTTTTCAGCACATTGGCTTAGTGTGTTTAGCTTTGGAATTTTACAGTCACTGTTTTCATTCTTATTTATCCATATTTTATAGCATAAGGGTATCAGCAATCTCTACAAAAATGTTATGATTTGATGCACAGTTTATTAAAGTTGCAGTTGGCAAAGGATGAAGGCATTGCTTTGTAGAAGTTTAAAATTTCACATTTTCATATAGTCTGATTCACTTCACGCTCGTATTTCTGAAAGCAGAATCATTTAGTATCCTCCACACCTCGTTCGCACTTGTTACCAGCTGCTGCCCATCTCATTCAGTGGCAGCTCTAAACCACAGAGCACTGTGACTACTTCCTTCTTCCCTTTATAGCACTCATCTAATTCACTTTTATGTTGTATTGCTTTAACCTCTAAAATGTCTCTGAAGTCATGGAATTCAAGACCCTGTTTTAAAATCAGGTGTTGATTGCCTTTCCTAATCTCTTTAGAGAGCTCTGAAATGGAGGAAAAAGAGACTTCCAAGAGTTTACTGTCAAATCAGCAAGAAGACTTAGGTTAAAAACATAAATAAATTTTAAGCAAGTTTCAATGTTAGAAGACACTTCTCTTTGATATACTTGAGTAAGAATTTATTTCATCATCTCTGGAAACACTGGCTTTTTCCCAACTCTGCAACCAAGAGAATGAATAGATAGTCGAAAGTTTTCAAAGTGTATGGCACATAAAGTATGGTTGGTATATAATGAATGAGGGGATGAATGGATGGGCAAAAATAGAATGGTAATGGTGAGAAGATTGTAAATTCAGTTTCTGTTTTCTGATTTTGCTTAACAAGAATATGTTTTGTAAAATTTTGTTTTGTTTTATTTTTCCAAGAGCATGAGAAGTGCCAAGTGTTACAAAGAGGGTCCCACCTTTCATGGTTCATGTTAATCATTACTAGATAAACACCTCTAGTGTCTGAGTCTGCTATTCAAAAGCATTTCAATGTGTAGACATTCAAGACTGCTTTAGAAAATATATGTAGTTGAAGACTCAGTGGTATCTATTGTGTGTTTAAAAAGAAAGATGTGGAGGATGTCAGTGGTTTTATTAGCATTTCAATGTGATATTTTTGCCAGAATTTTAGAAATGTTCTTAAATTTTTTCTTATCTACGGATTATCTTATTGTCAATAGGTTATCCAAAAAATCATGTTACCACTTAATGAAAATACCGTAATATTTATCCTGAACTTTGTCCTTCATCCATAGAATAACTGTATAATAAAATATTAGGTTGTAAAGCTTCAAATACTAAGCAGTGAAGGTTAATGAAATTTTCTCATTAATTATTCCAGTGATTTATCCACAAATTAATTTTTTTCTCCCATATATGATAGATGTGAAAGACATAGAAGTACATATTTTCTGTTTCTGTTTTGCAGGGGAAGATGGTGAAAGGAATGGGAGGTGCTATGGATTTAGTGTCCAGTGCCAAAACCAAAGTTGTGGTCACTATGGAACATTCTGCAAAGGTAAAATATCTTCTGCTTCACAAATGCAACTTTGGGAAATTCGCAGTATGCCACAGCTATGTACACAAAGTCACCTGACTCTTATTTTTTATTGTTTGCTCTGGGTCATTCAAGGTGATAGCACTTATATATTAGAGAGAAAGATAACAATGCAAGTAGTTATTATTATTTGGCTAAATGGTTTTACTTTGAGAAGAGCCAATATCAGGGTATTCTTTGAATATCTGCCTTGCATCCACATTAAAAGTAAAAGCTTTAGTATCTCCAAAAGTAGTAAAAATATGTTGAGGCAGATGTAATTGATTCAAGCTCATAAGCTTGATACAGATATTTTTACATTTCTATAGAAAGAGCTTTAGAGAAATTGAGTCATTTGCCTGAGGTCGGGTACCTAGTGGAATTGAGACTAGATTATGGTGTCTCTAACGCCATAGGCCAGTTTCCTAAGCGTGGAGTCTTTCTTCGTTGTTCTTGAATTAGTGTCTTTGTACCATCTGATCACTTTCCTGACCTAATTCCTTTGGTTTCTGCTAATTTGAAGAGTCAGTATTGGGTGGTACCTTCTTCTTTTTATGTCATTTGTTCATTTTCCTTTATCTTTTATCATTCTTAGTTTTTAAATTTACTGGTTCTCATGTAGAGACCTGCTAATTTGAGGTGCGATGGAAGTACATTTGTCCTGTTTTTATTCAGTGATGGCAGCATTGTGTGCGAGCGTGGAGCTGGAGGATTTGTACTTCGCTTGGTCTCCCAGGGAGAGTTCTGTTATAGTCATGTGTGCTATGAAATGGCTCTGCTGTGGAAACTGCAATAAGTACGAATTATCATAAATTGTTTAGCAAACAGTGGGAAGTGAGCAGTGGTGCATAAATATGGAACAACAGAAATGGAACCAAAACAGGTGATTTCTGAGAGATGCTTGCAAAAGCATCCAAAATATATTTCAGAGGCAAAAGGATGGCAAGCATGAAAATCAAATCTAAATCTTTTCTGGAACATAATATTTATTTGGAGAAAACTCTTTCTGATTTCCCTTTTGTTGTTACTTTAATGTTGACACATTGGTACTGAAGTCTGGCATAGTTTGAAATTTTTCTGCATTGATTTTCAAAACATTATGCCTGTATTTAGCAAATTCATTCTCTCTCTCTCTCTCTCTCTCTCTCAACCTCTCTCTCCTCCTTCCCTCCCCCTTTCCCTCTTTCCCTTCCTCTCTCCCAAGTCTTTCCTTTTTCTTCAACTGGAATTTCTGATAGAGGAAAATAAATGGTATTTCAAGCTGTTGACTAGAAATCCCTGAGGACAGCGTTTTACAGAAGCAAGATCACTTTACCTTTCTGTATTTTTTTTCCTTTCAGTGAGGAAATTTGCATTTTTTTACTGGAATTAGAGTTAGGTATTTTTCTCCAGATACTTTCATTTGAACAAACCAATAAAAGTGTACATGTGGTTAAAATAATTATAATGATTTGCTCACCCTTAGTAGTTAACTTTGAGTTTTTCATACCAGAGAAACTATTTGGTATTTACTCATGTAAAGGTACAAGATCCCAATGATGCATGTAACTGTACTGTACACCTAAAAAGTACCAGTAAACTTAATGAAAAAAAAGTAGTTAGATAACCTTGAAGTTTACTAACAGAGTGTCTCTTCTTACCGCCTTCACGTGTTCTTACCAGACTTCACATCTACAGTCCTACAGCGCATCATGGGTGCTGCTCGGTATTGTCTACCTGGACCCATGACCAGCCCAGCTAAAGGCAATGTGGAGACCTCATCATGTCTTTCCTACATCTTTTATTCTAGTTCCAGGTTGGTAAGGGCCAGAAAAGAGACAGAGAGTGGAAGCTCTTCACTCCTGGCAACCTCTCCATTTAGAGTCCTGTTCTTTTGCACATGCCAGGTAACTCTGATTGCCTTGTGATCAAGAATATCTGAGGGAACGAATCCCTATTCTTTTATAAGACATGAAAGTGAAAAGTTTGAAATGAAGAGTTAAAACTTGAAAACAGAAATGCAATCTTGTATTCCCAGGCTGCTAATTCATTTTCCATATGTAGGTGCACGTGTCCACTGGTTTTTCGGAAGAGGCTTTCTTTCCACTCCTTTTGTCATCTGCAGGGTTACAGGTGTTATCAAAACAGCATTGGTTGTTTTAATTAGAGAAATGAAGACTCTTTCTTTGCAACCAGCTGTTTTCTTTTATTTTTTTGTATTTATTTATTTCTCAGTAGTGGGGGTAGAACTCAGTGGGGCAGGTGTGGTGCCAGTGAGCTAAATCCTGGCCCTGCAACCAGCTGTTTTGTTTAAGTTAGGGCCAGCAGCTTCTGGAACCTGAAGTCTGGCTGCCTCCTGCTCCTGGAATCAGTGGCTTCTAGGATGTGTGGTAGGCATAGGCATCAGATGATACAGTAAGATTTTCACTGAGGTTGAGATATCTGGGTCCCAGGCAAAATGAAGTAGACAGATTTTGGTTTGGTTTTGTGTTGGTGTCTGATCACCTTTTATCACTGGCATATTCCAGCTTCTGGGTGGTACTGTGAAGAAGATCAGGATGTAGTCCGGAAAAGCTTTTCTGGTTAAGTGGGAGTTTGATTCAGTTGGGATCTGCCTGTGTTCATCTCCTGCCACATTCTTACCAAACTGCCTCTGCACAGGTCCCACCCAGATCTTCCATTGTTAGGAAGGTTTCAAAATCATCCCTTTCTTTGTGTTCATCTTCCCTGGCCAATGGTTTCCTTGCTGTGGTGTGCTTACAACAAAACAACCTAAAAATATAATTTTGCCCCTGGTATTTATCTTTCTTGCATTTTGTACTAGAATCTTCCAGGTTTTATCTGGGTATGTAGTGGTCCAGTGATAGACTGCATTTCCTGGCTTCCCCTGCCTATAGATACATTAAGATCACCAGGCTTAGTTCAGTGGGATTTAAAAATTATCAATATCTGCAATTTCTAAGTCATGTCCACAAATATAAAGACAATTACCCTGGACTTTCTTTGATCTTATTCTGTCCATTTGATAAGTACACTGCAGCCTTGGGCCCAAAGTTGTAAGTTCTGAAGGATATAGACCTGTCCCAACAACGTACGTCAGTAGATTACCCATTCCTTTCTTTATAAGTTCCTGCCCAGACTCCATCCTTGCCTCTTGGCTCTATTTACTCTCTGCACCTTCCTTGGGTGTCATCCAGTTTTTCAGGACCAAATATTTTTCATACAGTTCTTCTGAATCCTTTGCTCCTCCACATGATGTGCTCTAGAACTATATTTCTAACTCCCTGTCGGCAACCCTACTTGGTTGTTCCAGAGTCACTTCAAATACATCACATCCACAAGTGAAATCATTCTTTCCACTGAGTGAAATTTTCGCCATTTTGCATAGCTAAAGAAGTGATGATCTCTCACCCTCTATCTGAAAGCATCCTGTCTGAACCCTACAGCAACCACAGTAAATATTTCATTCACAGTATTCCTGCAGGTTGCTCCTTCCTGTATATTTCTACTCTTTTGACCCCTGTTTGGGCCCATATCATGTCCATATCTATCACAATTAAAGTGTCCCAAAGATCCTCTGACTGCTGAACTCTACTTCTTGGTGATGAAGCCCACCACTGATGGTCTGTTCAATCTAAAACTAAAGCTGGATCAAGCGGCTTATATTTAAAATCTTTTAATAATGTTACCACTGTTCGGTGCATCTTAGTGCACTTGCCTTTTGTGATCAGCTCTCCTGCTGCCTGCCATTTCTTCAGGACTGCCCTTTTGCTGGAATCTCCACAGTGTATCTGTTGGTACTCTTTTTTTTTTTTCTCCTCATTGAGTTTATTGGTACATTTTAGGTATATAATACAGTTACATTCATTACTGGGATCTTGTACCTTTACATGACAGGTCTTGGTTCTCATTTTTTCCCCTTACCCCTGCCCTCCCTTCACACCCTCCTCCCTTCCCTATTTACAAATACTTTATTTCCATTTTTTCATTTCCTCATTTTTTTCCCTTTTCCCTTGTTCCTTTCCCCTACCCTTCCCATGGGTTTCTTCTTTCTATTCCCTCATTTTGCCTGTCTCACTGCTGCCTCTAGAAAATCAAATAAATTATCTAATGTTTTATGGATATTTGGTTAATACCTTCTTTCTATCCTCCAGAAAGGAGTAGTCTTTGGTGCTTTGTCTTCTAGTTTGTTAGAATTATCTTATATTAGTGTGTTAGTTTACTTGTTTATGCTATCATGAAACATTTATGGAGGATCTGATATGTGTCAGGTATTATGCAAGGGTCTGAGAGAATAAAATGATGGAGAGATGAAATCATTTGTTTTCAGGCAGCTCAGAGTAGCCTGGGAAGAGAGTCATAGAAATGAATAACCAACAGGTTAGTGGATATAAAACAAGAGTGTGTAGTTGAACACCAAGTTCCATTGTGTAAGAGCAACTAAGAGCTTCCTGTGGGATTTATGTAACATTTTTAGGGAGATTTGAAGGATGGGCAGTTTGACAGTGGCAGATGCTAAATTGTTGCAAGGAATGGGGCCTTCGGCAGTGGGACTCGCAGGACAATGTGTGTGGAGGGTTTCACAGTTATGACCTTGTTGTCCCAGAACAAAGGGAGAAGGATTAGGTAGAAAACACACACACACACACACACACATGGTCTGCTTTTATATAGTGGCCAAAGCTTTAAAAATGTAAATGGGACTGAATCATTTCTTCTTCAGCTCAAAGGCCCTCAGTGGCTTCCTGTCTCACTTGGATTCAAGGCCAAAGACCGTACTACTGTATTACGTGGTTTGATTTCACACCCCTTTCTCTCTGATTCTGTTATCCTTCTCCCTCTTACTCATTTACCTTCAACCATAATCTCTTCCTTAAAGTTTCTGGAACATTCTAAGCATAGTCATGCCTGAAGGCCACTACACTGAATCTCCGGTGCTTTTTCCCAGATGTCTGGATGATTCAATCCCTCACCACACTGAGGTCCAGAATATCAGAGAGGCT